CGTGATCACTCACTTTGTTCCTCCAGTTACTCTTTCCTGGTGACTCCTCCTTTGTATAGTAATTCTCCCTTATCCTTAGTTTTCCTCTCTGAGATTTCAGTTATTCACCAGCAAGGACTGTCTCTAAAATACATATTTTTAATTTTTTATTTTTATTAGTACATGTTTGCAGTTATGTTTATCTTAGGGAGTCAGTACACGTACGTGGCACATCTTAATTCCTCTTACATCCTCTTCTCTCTCCATCCCCTGTCCAAGAATATTAAACAGAAAATTCCAAAAACAGTTGTTACGTTTTAAACTGCATCTTCCTGATTAGGGTAATGAGATCTCTGTAACTCTACTCTGAGGAGTATGGAATCATCTGGAAGATAATTCAATACACAGCTAATTATGCAAAGATCCTGTTATAGGGGAAAAAAGCTTGGTACTGTACCACTACAACTTGTAAGAGGAAAAAAAAAAATCAGTGAACTAGAACTTCCTGGAAGATGGTGAAGTGGTGAACAGCAGAGAAAGCTTCTCTGAGATTTGATGTCCAGATGCTGGACTATAGCAATGTGAGGAAGAGAAGGAGAAAAGTGGCTCACGGGGTGGGAGGAGTGACTCAAACCTGGAGATGCATGGAGAAACACACACATGGAACAGAGCAGTGGATGCAGCAGACTGCAAATGGTGGAACCAAGCTCGAGCTGTCAGGAGGCATGCAGTGCTGTAGGCTGAGCAAACTGGGCTCCAGCCCCAGTTTGAACTTCAGAGAAACTGAAGGTGCAGGCTTCCTGGGATTATCCACCACCCCACTGTAAATCTACAGCTGGCCTGCTGGGACTAATCAACGTGGGTCTAGAATCTGCCACTTTGTCTACCAGTGACAGTCTGAAATGAATAGACCCCTCTCAGATGAAGACGTAGAAATAGCAAATAAATATATAAAAATGTTCAACATCGCTGGTCATTCAAGAGATGCAAATTAAAACAACACTGAGATTCTTTTTCACTCCAGAAAGGCTATTAATCAAAAAATCAACTGGTAACCAATACTAGTGGGGCTATGGGGAGAAAGGAACTCTCCTCTGGTGTTGGTGGGAGTGTAGTCTGGTGCAACCACTAGGAAAATCTGTGGCAACTACTCAAATAACTTAACTAGAAGTTCCATTTGACCTAGCTATTCCCCTTCTTGGTATCTTCCCAAAAGAATTAAAAACATCCTACCACAGTGATATATGCACACCCATGTTTACTGCAGCACAGTTTATAATAGCTAAACCTTGGAAACAGTCCAAATGCCCATCCACTGATGAAGGGATAAAGAAAAAAAAATATATATATATATTTGAGTACTACTCTGCCATAAAGAAGAGTAAGCTTGAGACTTATCTAGCTAAATGGATGCACCTTAAGACCATACTTTTAAGTGAAAGAAATCAGCCACATGTTTTTGCATACTGCATTATTTCTCTGGTGTGAGAAACTGAAAGTGTAAATAAGGATCTAAATGTATAATAGATACTGCAAAATGGAAGAAAATGTCCAAATGAGAAGGGGAACAAGGGGGTGGGAAGGAGGAAAGGAAAGAAGGGAAAAGAAAAATGAAGGAAACATGGAAATGAAGCTTTTGTAAGTAAAGAGAGGAAGAGGGGCTGTAATGGGAAAAGCTGCAAGGAACGTCAGTGCAGGTGCACATTCTCTATGATGAGGTGGTCATGTATATCTAAAATGCAACCATAAAATGAAAAATACAAAAAATAAATAAATTAAAAATCAATGAACTCAAGTTAATAAATATTGATTGGAATTCCACTCTGCATACTCCTGCAGCAAAGAAGGCAGTGGAAGGCGTGCATGTATAAAAAGCCCATTTCATGCTGGACTTGGTGGTACATACCTATGATCCTGCCACTTAGAAGCCTGAGGCAGGCGGACTGCCGTGAGTTTAAGTTTAGCCTCGGCTACATAGTAAACTCAAGGCCAGTTTGGAATAGTGAGAGCCTGTCTTAAAAAAATAAAACCAAAAACTGAAAAACCAATTTCAGGGCATGGCACTGTGGCGCTCAGTGGTACAGGGCTTGGCACACATAGGGTCTTGGGTTCAATCCCTAGTGCCACTAAAAACAACAACAAAAAAATGCTACAAGAGATAATTTTAGAACTCAGTGGCAAATATGACAGTTAAGCAATAGCATCCTACAAATGCCCATCCACTTATAATGGAGTTACCTCCTAGTAATTTTAATTGAAAATATTAGTGGTCGGCATGTATTTAATGAACACTATCTTAGCAAGAGTCATAATCATGTGACACACCCACTGGGAACTATGGCTTGTTGCTGCCGCTGGGCATCTCCCAAGTGTATTGAAGTAGGAGATTAGGGCTGGGGCAACCCCATCAAATAGCTGGGTAGAAAGCGTCAAACCCAGGGGACATGCATGGAACACAAGTTCCTGGACGACTCTAGCTGCTGAGCACTGTATGTGGAACCAGTCAGAAAATACTATTTTCAGGTCTCCATTTGCATCTGGCAGGAAGCAAAGTGAGTCTTTCCATAGGGCTGTTTAAGTCCGGCACCAGCCCATGTGAGTTTTTGATAGGACAACTGTCCTGCTGCATTACATGCAGGAGGGGGATCCAATCCATGAATTTTGGATACAAAAGATCCCTTTCCTTTATCCTAGGGGCGCTGTGAGTCTGTGTGCCAGCCTGCTCACACTGTGCAGAGCATACTTCTTTCCCACCTTGATAAAGGTACATCTGCTACCTTTCCTCTTTCCTTCCTTTCCCTTCCCTTCTCTCTTTTCTTTTTCTTTTTCTTCTTTTTTTGGTCTTTTTGAGACAAGGTTTAACTATGCAGTTCAGGCTGGCCTTGGACTCGCAGCAATCCTTCTGCCTCAGACTCCCAAGTGTGTAATCCCAAGTGATTACAGGTATGCACCCTCACACCTGGCCTTGCTACCTTTTCTGTGTATCTTCTCCAATTCTTTGTTCAGGACATCAAACACCTGGAAAGAATTTCCTCAGGACCCGTCATCTGATAATGGTGCCATACTATGCTCATCCATGTAAAAACATGATCTTATTCAGTTCTCTCACCACATGTGTGTGTTTGCATGTGTGTCAGGGTAGGTGTGAGCACTTGTGCATGTGTACATAGTTCAGTTCCAAATTTGTAAGATATGCCTAATAATCCTAGTCATGAGGATTAAGTAAAACAAGATAATATGTGCTAAACAGAATTGTACCTGGCATATAGCTGGTATGCCTTCCTCCCTTTCTTCTGAGCTATTGAATATCTTTTCATCATAAACTCCTAAAAGGCAGGGACTATAACTGCTTCTTTATTGTATCCTGGTACCTAGCATGGCATACAGTAAGTGCTAAGTAAATTTGTGCAATCCAAAGATTGGATAAATGGTCATTTTTATCTTAGATTATCAATTGATGATAAGTGGGGAATAAGGACTTGGGTTTTTTTGTTTTTGTTGTTTGTTTGTTTGTTTGTTTGGATACAGGGTCTCACTATGAGTTCAGGTTGGTTTTAAACTCATTATAGAGCCCAGGCTGGCCTTGTACTTGTAATGATCTTCCTGCCTCAGCCTCCAGTGCTGGGATTACAGGTATGTGTACAACACCTAATAGAATCAGGATTTTTTAAATCAACATAAACTTGCTTGCTTTTGCATTCACTTGGCTAAAAAAGCCAAGGAATTTATTTTTCATTCAGTTCAAATACAAACACTTGGATTAAAATGAGATCTGTGGCACTGTTAAAGAGAAAATTATTCAGTGATACGTGTTAAAGAATGAGGCAGATCATTCAGAGGGAGGCAGTGGTGACAGGGGCAGGGACCACTGCACTGGGTCTCACAGTGGAGGAGAAAGATCCGGATGCAACTCTGACTCCACCAAGGACAAGTGGAGGCTTATAACCATAGTTTCGATTTTAACCCCAAATCAAAGTATTAGGGTAGTGTAGACAGCTACTTAAGCAGTTAAATCCCAACAGTGAGCTTGAAATGTATTTTTAGTGAAAACTTTAGCTTCTCCCATAAACCATAAACCATCTTATGAATGGTGGAGCAGAGACGAGGAGAGGGCAACCTTTTATTCTTTTAGCTGGAAGAGAAGTAAAGCTCTGGTAAAAGGAAGGAAAACTTAAAAGCTTCCTTAAGCTACAGGTTTGTTTTTTTTAATCACAAATTTTAAACAAAAAGGCAAGCTTTTGATCAACAGCAACAGAATGTCAGTGAGGAAAAGAAGTGTCCTGTCGTATCTGACTGGGGAAAGCTGTCATGGCTGCAGGCAGACAAGGCAGCAAGGATGATAACGGTAGTTAGCTGTCTTTCCCTGGGGACAGGCAGGCCACTGTGTCCTTGGGAAGCACAGCCAGAAGCACATGAAACCAGTGGCCCTTCTTGGGTTTACCTGACCTGAGCACTGAGCTCCTTTATTTTCCAGCTCCAAAACCACTATCGGTTCCCTTGCTGGCCAGTGATGTTTGTGTACCACATTTTCATTTGTGTACTCTACTTCTGAATCATATATATATGGTAGTTGGATTTTTAAGTGTGTGTCTCTATGCCTGGTTTATATTATATAATCTTACAGCCTGAAAGTCATAACTTTGTGCAAACTGAGACCTACTGAATGGTGATGGTGTAAGATGAGGAAGAGCTGGCCTCCTAGAATTCCAGGCTTCAGGTCTTGACCATGAGATTAGAGAGTCAAAATGCTGTATCTTACTCCAAAGATGCTAATAAACCAGATTCACTTCCCAGGCCAGTGCCAAATAGCTTTCTGGTTGCTCTGGCTTACCCAAAAAACATAATATATTGTCCCAGCAACCCAAATACCCAGTAGTTCTGTATTTAAAGCTAAAATCTTTCAAGCATAAGCCAGATGAAAACAGTTGCAGCTCTCTCAAATCCAATGCCAAAGACTGGGAGACTGAGGAATGTAAATGCAGGACAGGGAGAGGGGGGACTCTGCCCACATGTATACTTACCTCTTTTTGTCCCCCTTCATTATCAGTGAGCAGCCATTCGATATCCAGGGTGTCTGTTTCAGGGAGCCCCAGTTGATGGTGACAGGGCAAAGTGACCTTTTCCTCTGCCACTCGCTTGATCTCAGTGTGAGTTCCCAGGGTTCCAACACAGTAGGAAACTGGAAGAGAAAAATTTAGGATGAGCAGTGCAGAAACGGAGTGGCAATGCATATGAAAAATGATCACAACAAATAAATACAGGGTGTTCCTGTGGACATCCTTTGATCTTCTCTCTTCTAGCAGAGGGTTCCAGAAAGATCATGATGCTTAAGGGAACCATGCTCTAGCAACTCCTGTTCTTTGAGAAAAGGACAAATTGGAGAAGTAACATAGAGGTCCAAACCACAGAACACAGCGACTTACTGGATCTAGGAAGATAAAGAAATGATTCAAAACTTGAGATTGTTTTCAAACCTGCTCGACTTGTAGGTTGGCAGTTGCATTCCCACTCTTTAGGAAAGTAGGGAGAACAGTGATTTTATTTAAATGGGTGGTCTCTAGGAGTTTGGATTTAAGTCCATTGTGATACCCAGGAATAACTGAACCCCGACAGCAGTGTCCCCCCTGTAGTGCAGAAACCCATACAGTTCCTACAGTTACGTTACAGGAAGATGCAACACCCTATCCATTTCTTCATTTTCATTTACCTTGTGTTGTACAGCTCTTGGAAACCATCCTATTCTATCAGTTGTGCCTCAGCTAGTCTGTCAATCCCTGAAGTTTTCTTGTTTGCCCTGCAGGAATACTGTGTGTGGGACAGGGGAAGACAGAAGTTGGCATTCTCCTTAAAACCAGCCTCCGTGTGAGGCTGTGTTTCCAGCTTGCTCCTCAGAGCTCTCCTGAAGACAGGCTAAGCTTCCAGACCTCTCTATGTGGAAGGATGCTCTGGGGGAAAGGGGGCTCTTACAGGGCGCTCCTGTTTCCGTTCAGGACACTGGAACTGCTGTTTCTTTTCTGTCTAGATTCAGGTAAAGTGGTTTCAAAATATGAAACGAATCTTCCTGTCCAAAACAAAATTCGAGCTACCCCATTTGGAGAGACCCATAGGAACTTCGTACCACTTAAGGCTTCCCTCACCTCTGGTTTTCATCTTTTTCCATCAATAGGAAAAGCAGCTCCAGACCCTATTACAGAATGGTCACATCCCTCCTCAGATTTATGTGTGAGACCCAACCCTCAATACTGTATTTGAAGAAGGCACCTTTGGGAAGGGATTAGGCCATGAAGGTGAAAATGTCATGAGTGAGATCAACACCTTATAAAAGAGACCCCAGAGAACTCCATAGGCCCTTCTTCTGGGGTGACACAGAGACAGGATGGCTGTCTATGAAGGAAGAAACCCTCATCAGACATTGAATTGACCAGCATCTTGATTTTTGTTGTTTATTTTGTTTTCTTTAGTGCTGGAGATCAGACCCAGGGCTGTTTGTGCATGCTAGGCAAGTGCTGTACCTCTGAGGTGTATCCTAGCCCTCTAGGACCTTGACCTTAGATTTATAGTCCCCGAACTACAAAAAAATAAATTCACGTCTGTGGTACTTGGTTATAGCAGCCTGAAGTAAGATAGGCTCTAAGCCCACCTTCTCTCTATTTTCCTGTTAATCTCTCTTAATATTTAGCATTATTGATTACTAAATATACAGTACTGAAGACTAATGAGTTGATATGATAAGGCATTGGATTACTTAACAATTTGACACCTAAGGGATAATTTCTTCTTCAGTTGAAGTTTTTCCCTGACCTGCAGGTCAAATTCCCAGAGAGGGGCATATAGGATTTTGGTACTATAGATACTACCCATCAGCCATTGGCCATTTTGAAGTTGTAGGCAACTATGCTGCCCAAATTTTGTTACTTACTTTGTAATGCATATGTCATGGCTTATATCTAGAGGTCTCCCCAAAGCCTTGTATGTCATAGGTGGGGCTCTCAGAGGGTGGCTGGATCAGAGGTGTGTGACACTGGATTATAGATATAACTGCGTTAGTCCACTGATTGTGGTTCTGGGTGTGGATAGCACCAACCAAAAGACATACAGCTTGGACGGAATATAAAGAGAAAGAGGGAAGCCAGCTTGCTGCCTCCTGCTGGTCATGCCATAAGCAAGCCACCTCTTCCATGTCCCTCTGCCTTGCCCCCAGCTTGGAGCCAGAAACCATAGACTGAAACCTCTACAAACTGTGAGCCAAATAAACCTTTCCCCCTTTACCTTGTGAGTGCTGGGTATTTTGTCCCAATCATGAGAAAGTTACTAAGAGAGTTAGTCACATAGTCTGCCTTTACCTTTCACTACAATTCATGGGCTGCCTACAATAATATTTACTCTCTCCTCAGTTTGCAGTGCACTCAGGTTAGCAATAATGATCCTAACTTCTGTTTTGTGTCATTTGTCATGCAGATCTCAAACATTGAGTCCTGTTAGAATAAATACAAAACCACGAGAGGAATTCAGATGATGGCCTCATATCTGGTCTAACATATGTGGCACAATTGATAATTTAAATGCTTTAGCCGAGTGTGGCAGCACATGCCTGTAATTCCAGCATGCAGGAGGCTGAGGCAGGATGACTGCTTCAAATTCAAGGCCAGTCTGGACCGTATGGTGAGACCCTGTCTCAACCCTCCCCCACACTCCGGCCCCCTAAAATAATACTTTAGATTCTGTTTTATTTCATATTTGACAACAATTTCCTATTTATTAATCTGATTTTTTTTTGTTTTATCCAGTGGGTTTAAATATACTGTAGTTTTTCAACAAGTATTTGTTTAATTGATTTGAGTTTAGCCCACATAGTTGGAAGCTGTTTTGCTAACAAGCAAACTAAGGGTACAGGAGTAAAAGAGCCAGCCTAGGATCCTGATATTTCACTTGGAACAGAAATAATCCATTCTTCTTCAATTCCCATAAAACAGTGAGCTATAGAAATTTACCAGATTTCATTGTACTAAGCTGCGCTTGTAAGGAACTCTGGCTTCCAGCCCTATGGGCACAACAGTGCTCAGTGAAACCACAGAGCTGATCCTCCAGCCAATGCCAGACACCCCAGCATCCATCAGCGCACGCAGTAGGCGTTCACTATGCAGAGCTCAGAATCTGCTGTGAAACTTGCTGAGCTTTGCCGCTAGAGGGAACCAAAGGCTCAGACTCGTCTGCCTTGACTGAAGGCCAAATTCTATTTATATGATCTCCAGAATTAAACGCGGCAGTGTAGGGAGGAGCCCTACGGGAGTATAAATGGCTTCACCAAGGCAGGAACCTCCACCAAAGCTCATGGAACTACAGACTTCTCTCGCTGAGCCTCAGCTTGCCAGACTGCAAGAGGCCAGCAGGATCTGCAGAGGTCTAGGTCCTACTGTAGTCTTTTTTCTTTTTTAAAAAAATCTATACTGCTGTTCACCTAGGCAGACCAGGCCCTGGGCTCTGTTTAATTCCAAGCCCTGGGCACAGCTCAGCACGTGTCTTCATGTATAAGAGGGAGGAGAAGTCCAGCTACCCTGTAGCCAGCTTAGAATTCATCTTTGTTTAAAAAAACAAAACTTAGGGATCATCAGTTTAATGAACAAGGAAATTATAGGCCAGAAAATTGAAATGTCAAGTCACAACGGTTGCTAGTGGCAGAATTGCCCATAAGGAAATAATCTTTTCCATTTCTCCTCTCCTCTTCTCTCCTCTCCTCTCCTCTCCCCTCCCCTCTCCCCTCCCCTCTCCCCTCCCCCTCTCCCCTCCCCTTCCCTTCTTTTCTTTTATTCTTTTGAGACAGTGTTATGCGAAATCACTGAATGGCTCAGGCTAGGCTAGAATTTACTGTCCTGTCTTTGCTCCCGCTCCCAGCGTGCTGGGATTGCAGGCATGTGCTATCATGTCTAGTTGAGCCTCCAGGATCTTGCTGCATCATTTGCCTGTGAGAGGAGGTGTCACATGGTGGCAGTGGTAAAATGCCTCTATGGAAGCTGTAGGCTTCCTTCAAGTGGAACTTTTGCACACAACTCAGGCTCTTCCTAAGGAGGGGTTGAATCACCCTCTCTGAGCCTCTGTGTTCTAACCTGCAAAATGGGCATTTAACAAGACACTGAGGTAAAGTCCCTAGAACAGTGACGATGCATAGGAGTCTCTGTATACATTGGCTCCTCCCTGCTAGTGTTTCTGAGATGATTGTTGTCTACAGTTAAGATTGGCTCTTTCTTTAAATAGAATTTTGTTCAATCATAATAATCATTTTGAACCTTTGAGTCCCCTTTAAAAAGATAGGATAGTTATGCTTTTAACAAAAACTAGGATACTTAGGGGCTGGGGTTTTAGCTCAGCGGCATAAGTGCCTGCCTTGCAAGCAGGCAGTCATGAGTTCGATCCCTGGTACCGATAAAAAGGAAAAAGACAAAAAAAAAAAAAAAAAAAAAAAAAAACAAAACTAGGATACTACATTAAAAAAAAAAAAAAAACCTCTTCCTCTCTCATTTGCTGTCTTAGTTACTTTTCTCGTTGCTGAGATGAAATACCCAACACTCACTGTTAAAGAAGGAAATGTTTCTTGTAGCTCACAGTTTGTAGAGGTTTCAGTTCATACTTAGCTGGCTCCACAGCAAGATGGCCTGGCAGAGGGGCCCTGCAGAGCAGGAAGGCAGGCTAAAGAGAGTAAGCAGCAAGCAGCAAGTGAGGACAAGCAGTGACCCTCTTTCTGTCCCTTTTATCTTATGCAAACTATCTACCTTTAGGGCGGGTAGCACTTGCACCTACGGTGGGGCACCCTTCATCTATGCCAAGCCAGTCCGTGGACTAATCTAGTGATAACACACCTTTGATCCCACCTATGACCTCGGGAAGCTTTGAGGAGGGACCCTGTGATGCACAGCTGGTCACTATGATGCTCGCTATGTAAACCAATACCCAGTGGACAGCCATTCTGCCTCTGTACTTCCTGCCTGCTTATCCTGTACGAGGCCTGGGCCTCAGAGATTGGGACCTGATATTTTGGGAATAATCCCAATCAGTGCCCATCGAGGTAAATAAATCTGCCTCCAAATCCTGGGTGTCACTTCCATGTTTCTGTTTGCCATTGCAATAGTACACACTTCACAAATGACAATTTGTTAATAATTGTACTGTCTGTGTTTTTAAAAA